TGTATGTTGATTAGCTCTGGCCTTGCGAAAGGTTTTTGGGCTGAAGCTGCAAGTACTGCAGCTTATCTGATTAATAGGTCTCCGTCCAGCAGTATAGGGTTTAAGACCCCACAGGAGTTATGGACGGGAGAGCCTCCAAATCTGGAACACTTGAGGGTGTTTGGATGTGCTGCATATGCACATCAATCTGAATGGAAACTTGAGCCCAGGGCTGTCAAGTGTGTGATGTTAGGGTATCCCGAGGGTGTGAAGGGCTATAGGTTATGGGTTTTAGGGGTCCAAGGCATTAAGATTATTAACAGCACGAATGTAGTCTTTAATGAATCTGAGATGCCATGTCTAAAACAGAAAACGAAGAAACTAACAAATCTGAAACTGAGAGGCCATAAAGTATGGTAGGGACACTCTCACTCAAGCTATTGTTTCTGATGCTTTAAAATCAAGAGAACTTGAATTAAAAAGAGAAGAGAAACTAACAAATCTGAAACTGAGAGGAGTATTCAGACTGAGGTGAAGCTGACTAGGCTAAATTCACCTACACCTGGGAATGACGAAAATGACCCTATACATCATGAAAATGAAAATGAAATTGAAATTGAACCTGAACCTGAACCTGAAGAGGTGACTGAACTTCAAGATAACATTGAACCAGTTGAAGTTGAACATTTTAATGATCAACCGCCTAATCAAGATTATCAGCTTACTAGGGATCGGGGGAGGAGGCAAATCAGGCCAAATCGTAGATATGAATCCCTAAACTTGACTGATTTTGCCTTGGGTTCAGGTGAAGCCCTTGAATAGATAGAACCTGCTAGTTATGAAGAAGCTGTTAATGGAAAATGTTCTGAAAGTTGGCTAAAAGCTATGCGGGAAGAAATGGAATCTCTAATGGAGAATAAAACTTGGAAGTTAGTTAACAAACCTAAGGATCATAGGATAGTTCAATGTAAGTGGATTTACAAATTGAAAGAAGGAAATAATCCTAGTGATCCTCCTAGGTATAAGGCCAGATTAGTGGCGAAAGGGTTCACTCAAAAGGAGGGGGTTGATTACAATGAGATATTCTCTCCTGTGATAAAGTACAAAACAATCAGACTGGTTCTTGCATTGGTTGTTCAGTACAACTAGGAACTGGAACAACTAGATGTCAAGACTGCTTTCCTACATGGGGAATTGGAAGAGGATATTTACATGAGTCAGCCTCAAGGTTTTGAGGTGAAAGGTAAAACTAACTGTGTGTGCAAATTAGAAAGATCTCTGTATGGGCTTACAAAAAGCCCTAGACAGTGGTACATAAGGTTCGATACCTATGTTCTGAAGATAGGTTTTAAAAGGAGTGAATATGATGCATGCCTGTACTATAATGATAGTAAGGAGGGCTGTGAGGTCTACTTGTTGCTGTATGTAGATGACATGCTTTTAGCAAGTTCAAGTAAGACTGAAATCACTAAGATGAAGAACCTTTTAAAATGAAAGATTTGGGGAGTGCTAAGAAGATTTTGGGGATGGTTATAAAGAGAGATAGGGCTGAAAATAGACTATTCATTTCCCAAGAAGCCTATCTAAACAAAGTCACAACCAAATTTGGTATGAATGGATCAAAATCTGTGAACGTTCCCTTAGCAGCTCATATGAATCTTTCTGGTGCACAATCTCCTAAGACTGAGGAGGAATTTAGAGAAATGAGGAACATACCCTACGCTAATGCTATAGGTTCCGTCATGTTCTCTATGATAACAACCAGGCCTGACTTAGCCTATGCTATAAGTTTTTTGGCAGATTTATGTCAAACCCAGGAAAGCCTCATTGGGCAGGTCTGAAATGGTTGTTAAGGTACATTGTTGGTACATTAAATCTGGGTCTAGTGTATGAAAAGAGATCTGAAAAATTTACTCTAAAGGGGTATGTAGACTCTGATTTTGCTGGTGACAAGGATAGCAGAAAGTCTACCACAGCGTACTTTTTTATACTAGGTGACAATTGTATAACATGGAAGTCACAGCTGCAGCCTTTAGTTACTTTGTCAAGTACTGAGGTAGAATATGTTGCCATAACTGAGGCGGCTAAAGAATGTACTTGGTTAAAAGGAATTTTAAAAGAATTGAACTTCATGCATGATACACCTGTTATGTTTACTGATAGTCAAAGTGCTTTATTGCTTTGTAAAAATCCTGTTTACCATGAAAGAACTAAACATATTGAGGTAAAGTATCATTTTATACGTGAGAAACTGTCTCAAGGTGAAGTTAATCTTGTTAAAATTCACACTGATAGGAATCCCTCTGACATGGGAACAAAAATTCTACCTGCAAGTAAATTTAGATCGTGCTTATCTTTATTACACATTGACACTGGTTAATTTTCTTGCAGGTGGTGGGTGATGATGATGAACAGTTCTTCCATGTGCAAATTCGCAACCAAGAGAGAGTGTTAGGAGAACCAAGGTGAAGAATGTGAGGATATGGTTCACCTAACCCCACCCAATGTTGTGACTTGATGGTATTGATGGTGACACAATAAGGTCTTCCCACGTTTTGGCAGAGGCATGGTCTTTCCTTCCTTCCCCTTCATATGTACTCTCTACCATTTCAAAAGGGTGTGCAGCTCTCGGTCTCTTTTATTCCCAGCAGTGAGGAGCTCTCGGTTTTCATAGCAAAGGGTGGTGGTTGAGGGGTGGGCGCGGGTCGGTTCGGTTCGGTTCTCTTTAGAATCGAACCGAACCAAACTTTTCGGGTCTCTAGTAAATGGAACCGTCAGGTCCAAATATAATTATGGAACCGTTCGGGTTCGGTTCCATTCGGTTCGGTTCGGTTCCGTTCGGTTCTGTACTATAATTAAATTTTTTAACATTTATAACAACGTTATATAAATACGACTAATGATACATTCAATAGTTTTGGAATGTCAGAGATTAGTAAACTATTTTGTTCAAATGATCGCTACGATCAAAGTTTCAGTCGGGGAAAGTCACGGCTTCGATCGGAAGTCAGAGTGTCGGCCGACGATTGTATAGGTTTTGGAATATTAGATAGGCTGCGAGAGTGAGTGCGAGAGTCGAGACAACGTTATGCACTTTATTGTAGGTGTTTAGGGTTATTTAGTATATTTGATCTTGTTTGGCTAAGAAATGAAATAATAAAATGAGTAATTGGGCCAAAAATTAAAAAAATTAGAAATGAAACAAATTATTGGGCCAAAAATTTGGATTTAGAAATCATTGATTTGTTAATTTGTTTAGAAAAAATTAAAATTAAAATAATTTGATTTACTCAATATAAAAAAAATAGAAAGATTCGGTTCTTATTCGGTTCTTCGGTTCTTGGTCTAGAACCGAGAACCGAACCGTACCCGTCGGTTCTCAATTCAGATACCCGTTCGGGTATTTAATTTGACAAGAACCGTCGGGTTCGGATCGGTTCGGTTCGGGTTCGGTTCGGTTCGGGAGATTTGCCCAGCCCTAGGTGGTTCTTCATTGGTTTTCCCCTCTCTCTTGGAAGGTAATTAGCAAGTCATGGAAGGCTGTTCCTGAGCCTGAAAAACACCCATAAATCAAAGAAGAAGCTGCTGAAACGAGGAAGGAAAGCTGGACAGATTTCGGCCGAATGCAGGTTGTATTTTTCCATCCCCTTTTTTCTTGTTTTGCCTTGAATCTTGTCTATGGGTTGATGTTTTGGTTGATTGAACTCCTAGGATCCCCAACAAACTCAATTTCATAATCAGCTAGATAGTCCGGCTGCTTTCTTTATCTCGATGAATTTCGTGTGACAGCCTCAGTGCCCTCATCTATCTAAATATTTTCTTTAGACGAATAAATATTGCTCCCTCCATTACTGGATGCAGAATCACCAGTAGAAAAATCAAGATTAGCTGTGCTTAATTTTTCCTTCATTTCCATCAAACTTGTAATATGACATTATATCAAACACCACATCACGAGGAATAGTGACCTTTGCTTCTAGATCCATACATCTCTATCCTTTCCTGTCATAGCCAACAAAAATACAACCCTTGGGCCAAGTTTTGTTCGATTATGTTTTAATACATGAACATAACAAACAGATCCAAAAACTGAAAAATATCTTACATTAGGTTTGCAATTGTACAATAACTCAAAAGGAGATGATTCTTTCCCCAACCATGGAGGTAAACGATTGATGACATAACAAGTCGCCTGAATAGCTGCAGCTTACAGCTCTCTTGGAAGACTCTTTGCATGTAGCCATAATATAGACATAGATGTTAGATGAGCTAACTTATGTTTGGTAATCCCATTTTGTTGTGGAGTTTCTGGACAAGTCATTTGACGCTGAATCCTATGTTGCCTGCAATAATTTAGAAATTGATAGGACATATATTCTCGTCCATTGTCGGTGCGCAAGCACTTTAGTAGCCCAAATCCTTATTCTGCATCCTGTTTGAACTGAATCAATTTGGAGAAAACCTCACTTTTGTGTTTCAAGAAATAAACCCAAGTGAACCGAGAAAAATCGTCCACAATGGCCATCACATAATGATAACCAGTGCAGCTAGGTGTTCTTGTTGGCTCCAAGACTTCTGAATGGGCCAAATGTAACATAGTAGATGCTCTATTTTTTGAATTTGGGAAAGAAAGACGAGGAGAATTTCCATATTGGCAACCGGGACAAACTACATCATGATGAATATCTTTAAAAACAGGAATACCATCAACAGGTTTCTTTGTGGATATTTTCTGTAGCATTTGATAACCAACATGGCCCAAATGAACATGCCTGCATTCTGACCTGCCTTTTCAACATTTGCATAACTTATAGACAATATGTATAATGATTCTTTTCATTTTCAGTAAACAAAATATCAACTTCAATATGCTTCACATTAGAAAGAACTTGCACATCATTTGGACCAAAAAGAGCATACCTTCCTGAATACGTTATTTGAGAAATTGAGGGAAGATTTTTCTTTTAGCCGGGAACATGATATAGGCCTTTAAGAAAGGCCTCCATCATTAGAGTTACCTTCTTTAAAAAGTCCTCCTTTCATTACAGGATGTAATGAATTATTAACTATCATACCTTTTTCCCACAACGCGGACGAACATCAAATAGTAGCACATCATTTCCCGTTGCATGATGAGAACACCCGGAATCAATAATCCATTCCTTGTTGTAGTCAATGAAAATATTTGCATCTGTAAGTGCGTTAGTATGATGCACAACAGAAGTTACAATGGTTGGTTGATCAATAACTTCAATGGCTAAGCACTTTTCCCAATCTGATTCTTCAAATTCGCTTTCATGTGCAACATTTGCTCCCATTTCCTTCTAATTACCACAACAATTTGATTTGATATGGCCTAATTTTCCACACTGATTACACACCACTTTCACCCAGCCATCACGCTTTATGTGTCCCAGCTTTGCACATCTATTATCGACATTTGAATTTTCCTTGAACTGCCCCTCAGTTTTGAACTAGTTTCTATTGCCTACAAAATGCTTTAAGGATGAATTCTTTTTCCCTTAGTCCTTGGATGTTCTTTACATCCTCTACTTAATGAAGTTGTTTGTTGCTGAATATTTGTTTCACTGGTATTTGCTGATTTGAGAGCAGATTTGCCAACTCAACGACACAAACTAGCATCACTCACAGGTTCCTCCGTATCTAATTCTGAAACATCAAAAAATAGGGCTTTGAGTTTTGAAAAATATTATTAAATTGAAAAGTTACCTTGAGTCATACCAGCAAGTTCATTCTCTAAATACTACAAAATCATCATGTTTTTTTGAGTGAATAATCTCTCAAGTGTCTCCCACACTTGCTTTGGCGACTTCTCATCACGAACATACTCGATGTACTCTTTACTAATCGATATTCACAAAGCAAATAAAGCTTTGCCACACTTTATCTTCCTTCTCCTCCTTAAATCAGCATTATGTGATGTATCCTCTGGAATTGCATCATCACCAGAGATAAGTTCCCACAATCCCGCCCTTGTAGATAAGCTTCCATGCATGGCTTCCAGTTACAATAATTCTTACCAACGAGCTTGTCTACATAGGCACTGCACCCACCATTCATCTTCTCTGGGTAATAGAATCAAACATTTGATTGGCAATCTGGCTCTAATACCATGTAACAAAGTATTACAGAAAATAAATATACCAGTGAAGCTGAAAAAAGGAACAGAGAAAAATAGAGTAGGAAACCAATAGGGATGCTCTTTCAATTGAGTTTTATTACTTGATGAAGAACTCAAAGAAAAAACAAAGAATGAAAAGAGTGCTGGTTGTATGTATCAACAGCATATAAGTGCAATTTACGGTGAGAAATTCTCCTAAAGTTCCTCAACTAATCAAACTGAAAGACCAATGCATTCCTAAACTTGTTCACCAAACAAAAGACCAATTCCACTAAACTTACTCCTAAACTTTTGAAAACAAATGACTTATTCAACATCTAGGGCGTGATTGATTCACCCAATTCCATTCCACCCAAAATGTAGTGTTTGATTCACAAGATTTTTGATGGAATTGGTTTCTAGATTTTATTGAAAGTTATGCTATTTCTTGATTTGATGAGAATTGGAATTCAGCATTTTTTTTTTTTTTCATTTTTTTAGGCAATGGAAACCAATTGTAAGAATTATTGTAAAAAAATATTTCTCTTTCATTGATAATTTTTATGTAAAACAAAACCAAATTAACATTAAAAAATAGATGATTTTCTTGAATTTTTTATTTATTATTATTATTATTATTTTTTGCTTTTTGGCGATGGAAACCAATGTCATCTCTAATATCAGTAAATTCTATCATTTTAATTAAAACAAAGTCAAACGAACATAAAAAAAAACACTTTTATTTCAACATTTTTTACGTGAAAAATTATACCAATCAAATACAATAATTTACAATTCCCAAAAAAAAAATTCTAGGCAATTCAATTCCCCGAAATTCGTTTTCCACCCATAGTCAATTCCATCTTTTCAATCAAACGGACCCTTAGATATGGCAGCAGTAAGTTGCACTAATTTGTAACACATTAAGAGTGTGTTTGATTGACATAAAAAATATTACCTAGAAAAGAAAATATTTTCCATCTTTTGTGGAAAATAAAAACCACCTCTACCCAAGAAAAATATTTTCCTTAAAAACAAGGAAAATTAGGCATATTTTCAAAAGTTGGAAAATATTTTCCATGGAAAAAAATAGCAATCAAACACTCCAAGTAAGAATTTGGGTGGAAAACTGATATTTTCCATGGAAAATAAATGTAATCAAACACACCCTAAAATTATAATTCATTTTTCTCTCTTTTTTATTGATTACTTATTCTCTAATAAAATAATTTTATACGTAAACACAAAATTTTTCTTCTTTTTTAACCCTAAATTCTCCAAAAAATTACTATTTCAAAATATACTTTTTCCAAATTCTAATTAAAATGAAGGCCAAACAAGAGAAATTTAAACTAAAATTGAAGTCCAACAATAAAATATTGAAGTTGGAATAAAAATAATTTTTGTAATACAATGAAATTACAAATTTCCCCATTGTGCAACGTCTCTTCCATTAGCTAAAAGCGTTAATGCCCCTAATGGACCAAAAATAGGACATCAAACTTTCGTACCAAAGGGTTACGCGTGACTTCTTTTATAATTTTTCTTATATATTAAAACTTTCATAAAAAATAAGAATCATATTATGGACGATTTTATCCAAATAATATTTAGAATCCGTTTGGCATGACTTTTGAAAAGTCAAAAGGAGATTTTGAAACACAAAAGTTGCATTTGCATCCGTTTGACTAATTTTATGATTTACGAAAATGTTTCCTTTAATTAGAATTTATTTTAAAGGAAGTTGAATTAATGTGATTTCCTTTAAAAGTACTTTCGAAGTAAGCTCTTTTAAAAATTAGTTTTTAAATATAAATTAAAGAAACTTATTTAGAAATTTTTTCTACAAAAAATAAAAGCAAAAAACTATATCAAACAGACCCTTAGAATATTTCAATAATATCTGTAGAATTAATAACAGATATATTATATTTTAATTGAACTCTTTTACAGAACTCTTCAATTCTATAAAATGTACCAATTGCTTGATGTATACAATGTATCAAGTCTTTTAGTGTAAATTAGTCTCAGTTAAACGTGTGTTGCACGTTATTTTAAAAATATGTTATAGGTGCTATAACGATAATATTTATAGATGTGCGAATAAAAAAAAAGTTATTACAAATTATTTATGTGGAAGGTACTTTTGATTCAAATTAAATAAAAATCAGATTATAAAAACAATTTATATAGTTGAAGAAAACGGTTAGAATAATCTCTCCATTTACCTTTTTAATCTGGACTGAACATCCAAAGAATATCACCATTTCTTCATATTTGCTTAATATGCATTTAATATATCAATTGAAATTATTTATTGTAAATACGCATTTACTATCCAATTAAGTCGAATGAATCTATCAAATGTACATTGATCACAGTTAAATAATTGACAAGATAATTCATCATAATATTGTTCAAATGATTAAGTAAATCAAATATATATTAAAAAACGAAAAGGTAATGAATTTGTCAAATATAGTTAAATAAATTAAATACATGTTAAAAATGAAAAAGTCAGGTAATCAATGTGTCAAATGTACATTCATCTTAACTAAATAATTTTACAAAAGTTCAAATGATTAATAAATGAAATAGATTTTGAAAATGAAAAGTATAGTATTATTGGAATAATTCAATACATATTAAGAAATGAAAAGTGAGGTATTATATAAGTAATTGAATTATAATAATAGAATCGTTCAAAAAACGATTCTCACTTGATGTAATATTTAATATATAAAGAATTGTGAAGAATGTTATAAAGATTTAGGAGACTAAAGAAAAATAAGTTGTCAATTTCTGTGACATTATACTTAGTAGTGTAAAATTTTTCATTCATTCAATAAGAAAGTTCAAATTGAACGATCAATGTGAAAGTTGGGAGGGACATAAATGTAACGCAATTGCCTGGTCACTGGGAGGGACATAAATGTAAGAAATTGCGTACTATTACTGTCGATGGGAGGAGGAAATAAATAGGTGAGTTTCACAATTTTCGTTTGTCATAAAAACGTGTACATGCATAAGATCAATAGTCTAATTGAATGGAAATCGTTCCTAGGCATGGCAATGGTACGAGCTAGAGAACTTGACTCGTCTACTCGAATTGAACTGAGCCGAAGTTGGGTGCAAGCTTTAGGCTGCAAAAAATGCAAGTAGCTTGAAATTTTTGTTGAGAAAGGGACAAGCTTGTGAGTTGGCTATTTTGAACTAGTCCTTGTTTGTTTCCAATTTTGTTGCCTCAATTTAATGGCTTTTACGATCGTTGCAAAACTTTCTATCTCACAATATGACCCATTTATTGAAAAAAAAAAAAAAGGTCAAAAAGGATATTTTTGCATCCAATAAGGGGAACCAGACAGGGGGCTAGTGTGATAAAGCAAATTCTACTTGACCTAATATAAGCGAGCCAACAAGATGAGCCTGAGTTCTCATTTTGATCAGGAACCTGCTCGTAGACCAACTAGCAAAGTCAGCTCGACCTATTGACATGGAAGCAACACTATTAGAGGCTGTCTCGTAGTGTTTTTTTTGTTGATTTTTAGCAATTATTCGACCGTTATCCACTAGCATATGAAACCTACGTTGATAGCAATGTTTGAAGATCTATTAGTGAAATACCTAAATTATCTATTCATTATGAACAATGATTTAACTGTTTAGGACAAAATAGTAATTCTACCCTAAATTGGTCTAATATTATGGCTGTCATCTCTGATTTCTTACCATAAATGCATATCAAACTGAAAAGCAGTGATCACACTCCACAAATTAAAATGAGAATTTCTACCAAAAATGTAAGCTTGAGAGTACGAATGTGCGCAATGTAGAGAAAATGTTGGGGCCATTGAGGGCAATTTAGTCAAAATAATATGCAAATAAAATTTGTCTAAATTTACAAACGTGTCGGAAAATAAGTGGCTGTAGTGGATTCGAAAGAGCCACAAAAATCCCCATGTCATCTTAGAGAATCCTTGCCTTTCTTTTTCACGCATAAATTTCCCCCGCCAGAAAAAATAAAATAAAATTTCTCACGCTTCTCTCGAAGAAGTTATCCCTCTCCCTGCCTTCAGGTAAACTGCCTGTTACAATTACACATTTTCCTTCTTATTATTTTTTTTCCTTCAAGTTTCGATTTATTTGTTGCGTATTGGTGTATATTCAGAAATTTACGAACAACTACCGGTTCGAATTCAGGTTTGATCTGAGAGATCCGGTTCATTTTCTGTGTTTTTCTTAATATTTATGATAATACATGTGAGAATTGTGAGTAATGTGTTAATATGAAATTTATGGAATTAAGAAACTGGTGATTCTATTTTTGAAATTGCTTAGGTTTTTTATAATCGGACTGTGAAAATATATCAAATGAGAATGTACTATAAATTGATGTTGAATTTACAATAGGAAAGATAAGAAGGCAGTAGCATGGTGGAGTTTGTTAGGTTGGTTTATTGTATTATTATGTGTATGCTTTCAGTATTACTTCGAATTTAACTGATTCTGCCATCTTGTGAATGTTATCTGGTGACTGAAGCACGTTAAATGGTCTGCTTTACTGGTGTTGGATAAGACAGTTCAAATGGGATCGAAGAACGTTAATTGTATGTTGATTACGTTGCAGTCGTTGTTTGATATGTTCAATTTGTGCATGGGTTTCAAACTTTGTGATATTTTGGTTATATCACATGTGAAAGACCTTTGATCTTTATTAATTGCTTATACAGTATTAAAGATTTGGCTGTAAATCTTTTGCACACTCATTGCCTGGAATATTTATTCTCAAGAGCCTTTAGGAATTGGAATGAAAAGTAATTTCATCTTTATTTTTATGCCACTCATTGTCATGTGAAAAAGAGTGTGTTGACAGCGATGTATACTATTAATTATCTTCTTAGGATTATGTTGTTAAAAGACGAGTATAGCGCCACAAACTAAGTGAACAGTCCCAATAACTCGTCCATATCGCTGGAGGTTTGGCGACCACTTCTAACTCCTAAACCCCTGTTGTGCGTCGAGTGATGTGGATATAGCTCGAAAGCTAAAATCAAATCTAGTTCTTACAATGTTTGTTTACGGATCAGAGATCATCAAGATTTCTGTATCACACACCACAAATCCCTCAACCACAAAGGTGGTTGTTCATCAGTCTAAAATCAAATCTTCACCCACTTGATTACACAAGAAAATCACCCAGATTTCTCACCTATCAAGGTAATTAGAAAACAAAGAAAAATTACCGACCAAAAAAAAGAAAACAAAGAAAAAGTAGAAGATGAATAGTAGAAAGAAGGTTTGACTGCAGTCCAGTGTCTTCTGTATCAAAGGAGGAGATTATAAGTCTTCTAGTGAAAACTTCCATCCAACGGATTAAAGGCCTCCACATGTACAACTCTGATCAATTTACCAAAAGATAAAATTG